ATGCATTTTGTTCCTTCTCTTTGTCATTTTGTACAGCACTGTCTTCTGACCTTTGGTGTAGTGCTTTGGTAGAGTTATTACCTTAGCACCAGGTCTGGATCTACCAAGTTCAAACTCGTCTAGGCATGTGTGGCTTGGGTCTGGCTGCTGTGCTCCACTTCCTCCTGCTGCAGCCCTTGGAGGTGAACCCGCTATGCCACTCTGGCAAGATGTTCTGCCCCTGGATCAGCTAAGTGGGTCTTGCCTCTAGCCTCTCTGCAGGGAGTTCTGCCACAGGGTTCCTCACTGGGCCTGTCTGATGGAGGAAGTTCCACTCACATGCTGAGCCTGGGCACTGGCTTGAATGAACATCCAGCGGGCCCCAGACAGTCTCATTCAGGTCGGGTGTGGGCTCTAGGTCAAATGAAAATTCAGGGGCCCCAGGCAGTCTCACCCCCAGCCTGAGGTCTGGGTCGAATCAATGGATGTACCTTGAGACCATATTCAAATGAAATAAATCTGACACATGTGTAAATACTGCATGGTTGCTCTGGTGTGATAAGCTGAATGCGTATGTAAGGACCGAATGTGTAACAGGTATTGGGAAATGGGAAGAAAATGTTCAGATGAGAAGGGGAAAGGTGGGGGACAATAATAAAGAATAGAGGAAAAAAACAGAAACAAAACTCGTACAAATAAGGAGAGGAAGAGGAGTTAAAGGGAGGGAAAGGGAATGGGGAAATAGAGAGGTAAGACATACCGTGTTCCGCTGCAAACTCCTAACGATAAATATTATCATTACATGAATCAGTGTACCAATACAAGATGCTACATAACGAAGCTGGGGGTGGGGGAGCTAAGCTTAATGACCTCACCATCCACCCTGCTATGAGCCTCCCAAGGCTGGATCCACTGGAGCCAAGCAGCTGTTTGTATTCCTGTCTGCCGCACTCGTCTGTGGTTCTCTGTGTGAAGCATCTTTGGGTGAAGCCTCCATGATGATCACTTCAGGGACTTCCTCCTTTCTCTCGGGAACTTTCCCTCAGCCGACCTTTCCTACTCCTCACCTTTGTTCTCAGCCTCCATATTGGATACCCAGGAAAAACAAACTCAGAATTCTGAAATCTCACGTCTCATCACAGAGGTATGGGCTTTTGAGTAGGCACTTTAGCCACCCTTGGTTGGGTTACGTAACTTGTGACTTTGTCTTCAGGTCACTCCTGCACCTTATTTGCTCAATCCAATTTTAGACTTTGAGTATTCTCGAGGAATCTTGGGTGTGCTGGCTTTGCACACCATGTATCCCAGCAGTCCCTTGGCAGACTGAAGCCAGACAGCTGCCAGGGACACTTCTGCACCCAGGGCCCTCCCTCCTTTCCCGTCCACAGCACCAGCTGCTTGTAAATGCTGTCACTGTTAAAAGGCAAAAGGTTGTTGGGGTGCCCATGGACTCCACCTGGCTTCCAGCCTGACCTGCACTCCAGGGGTCTGCCCCACTGGACCTTCTCCAGGACATGGCACAGGGAGGGAGGCGGAGACTGCAGGTCACAGAGGCGAGTGCTCACCAGTGCACCACACCCTTGGGCGTGCCCTGGAGGTGCTCGGGGACACACATTTGTATTTGACTTTACCACAGGAGGGGTCTGGAGATGTGCCCCAGAAATGTGCTCACTAGGTCAAGGCAGCCCCGCCATCCAAAGGAAACATTACAAGTTTCCTTTGACCATTTCTTTGTTCTGAATATTGTAATGTACTTACTACCCACAATTCCTCACTACCACCGAGTCACAGCGCTAGCCTTCTGTCTGTACCTTAATCTGAAGACACTTCAAAGGTGGAGTTTCTGGTTTTGGTCTGCAATCTTTTCCATTTGATTGGATTAAAATAACTCAGACTTAATATTATTGCTGATAGTTGGACTTGTGTCTGCCATTTTATGTTTTCTATTTTTTTTTTCCTGTGTCTTTTAACCCTATTTTTCTTTACTGATTTCTTTTGGAATAAGTGACTATCTTCTCCTTCTGTTTGACTGCGTATTTTCTGACCTAGCATTCATGGCTCCTCTTCCGTGACCCTGCTCCATCACGTTGTATGCACTGCCAGAAGAACTGTTAAGTGCTTGCCTCTCATCAGAATCAGCTATGCATTCAGACCGACCGCAGTATGGAAGCACTGCCTGCCAGGCAGGAATGGCACAGGCCCGAGACCCCAGCCCTGGGGAGGCTGAAGGCCAGCCTGAACTATATAGCATGACTGTGTCTCAAAAAAGAAAAAGAAAAAAAAAAAAAACTCAAAATCTGAAACATTGCCCTACATAGTTCTACATCCTTCTACGGCTTTATAGTCATGTGTGATTTTTAATTATTTTTTTTTTATTTGTGTGTGTGTGTGTGTGTGTGTGTGTGTGTGTGTGTGTGTGGCCAGCTCAGCCCACCAGAGGGCAGGGCTGGCTGGCATGTGGTGCTGGGGGATTGAACCGTAGTCCCTGTGCTTTGCTAAGCTTGTTCTAAGTAGGTGCTTTAGACCACTGAGCCATCTCACCAGCCCTTTAATTATTTTCTACATTTTGAATATTATATGTATTAGATCTGTAAAAACTACAAGTTCAATGTAACTCAGTTATTATTTTCTATAATTTTGTCTTGAAAAAGCTGAGAAGAGAAGAAAGAGCAAGACTATATTTAGGCTTTGTTATTTTAACCTTGTTCTCTTCATTTGACTCAAAGGCTTGAGTCCCTATCTGTTGGGGACCAAGCTATGTGACAGATTAGGGCCTCACCCCACCCTCCCACCCCGTCTGAGAGACCTCACTTTGCCCTGGCTATGGGTGGAACACTAATAACCAGGCAACTGTGAGGCAAGATAGCATCTGCTATTATTTAAATACAGGCATTGTGTAGAGCAATTTGGTTCCTCATTAATTTAACCCCTTATCCACCCATTTTCTATAGTTAACAGTTCCTCAGCTACCCCTCCCCTGCATGTCTTGCTGACCAATCAAAGCAAACCAACCCTGGAGGTAGCCGAGCTAGTCCCAGGGGTGCAGTCCCAGGTCCCTGGTCCTCTTTCTTTATCCTTGCCATCATCTCACCCCTTATGCTTTGCTTACACCCACCTCCTTCAGACTTCTACCAGCAATACACATCTGTAAGTTATAGGGACACACACCTGGCATGTACACAGTTGTGCCGTTGCCTTCTAGGCCAGAGGCCACCTGCAGGCGGAAAAGGCATTTCTACTCTGGGCTGCAGTGCCCAGGAGGCAGGCCCTGGCCAGTCAGGAAGTGCTTTTCCTACCTTGAGTGTGCATGTACCAGGCCAGGCATAAGCATGCATAGGCTGCTTGTGAGCACACAGGGGCCCATGTACTGCGCAGCTCTCTGTACATGAGCCCTCACCTGGACCCCAAGGAACACCTTAGCTGGCTCTGGAGAAGACGGGTCTCAGTGCCGCCAGCACCCTTCCTCAACACCTGGAGCTCAGGGTGACCATGTGTCCTTTGCCACATGTGGGCCCACCTTCCCCCCACACAGCAGCTTCCACTGGTAACAAGCAGTCTGTTACAAGCCCACCAGGGACATCTAAAGCCATACTTAATCCAGCCCCTGTATAATCTTTTCCTATACATCCATACCTATAGTGGCTTATAAATATGGCAGTGAGGAAACAATAAAATGGAGTATAATATAATACATATGCCATAGGTTACATGGATGTATCCTATTTTTGGAGCAGGGTTTGTTAAGGGGACCTGAAACCACAGGTAAGGGGGATCACTATATTGCTTTCACTTTACATTCAGTCATGAGCATCCCTGCATTTTGCTGTTATTTTTATTTTTGGCAGTACCAGGGATCAAAACTCAGGACCTTGCACTTGCCAGGTCGGTGCTTACACCACTAAGCTATATTCCCAGCCTGTTATTTTTATTAATCCCATTCCTAGATGGGGACCAAACTCACCCCACACTGCATCCATCATCTCACCCTGACCCAAGGGCGGGGCTCATCCATGTTTCCACAGTCTGCCACCTTACTTTCCGGGCCAGGAGCTGGGATGGACCCAGCAGCACCGAACTGCAAGAGGGAGATGCTGGCAATGCAGCCTCTCCTAGCTCACAGACCAAAAGGTGATTCCTTTTGTGAATCCTTCAAGGGTCTGAACCACCCATCCCTGCCCCCCGGTGCTCTTCCAGGGTGGGATTTGGTGAGTGCATCACAGGTAGCTGTCAACATGAACCACCACCGCAAAACTCTCCAGAATAACACTTCCTTGGGCAAAGCATGTTAGTTGTAAGAGGAACATGTGCACCACAGTATGCTAAGCGTGTTAGTTTAGGTTCCGTGTGTCCCCAAATGTCTATGTCTGGAGGTGGGGCTTTTGGAAGGTGACTGGACCATACAGGCACCACAGACCACTTGCTGTTGGGGGGCAGGACGGGGTGGAGGTGAGTCACAGGGATGTGACCTCATGGGGTTTGTCTCTGCTTCTTGGGCCCCAAGTGGGCAGCTTTCGGGCCCAGACCCTTCTCCACGCACTACTGCCTCAAAGACACTTGGGACTTAAGACTTTTCAGTAATGATGGAACTGTTAAACCCTGACTTAGAGATGGACTCTGCATTTTGCACGATGAGCTGGACTTGACTCTTGGGAGTCAGGAACAGAACCTCCTGGTTTAGATCTAGAATGTTCAAGGTTTGAAGGGAGAAGTTTTGGAAGGTGATCCAATCACGGAGTCACCTTCGATGACGGATGAGTGGCGCATCCTGGGTTGGTCGGGGTGTAATGTGGAAGGGTTTCTTCCCCTCCTGCGTCCTCCCTGGTTCCTGGCTTCTGGTTTTCGCTAGACCCTCCCTGCCCTCAGAGCCAGTTGGCCCGGGATCAAATCCTCTAAAACAAACATTTTTGAAGTTGTGGCTATCAAGTGCTATGTTTCTGTGACAAGGATGTGGAGGGAGCAAGAAATTTTAAGGCAAGACTAGGACCACATACTTAACAGCAACTCAGCTATATGATCAGCAATCAGGAGGGCCAGCCCAAGGCTGGACTGATGCTGGGCACATGCTTCACAGAAGCTGTGGCAGTGTTGGGGAAGCAGAGGTCCAGGCACCATGACAGCAGTTGTCCTGTGGGGCTCATGTGGGATGCCCCTTGCTCCGCCTGCTCTATGTTAGGAAGCAGTGAGGGTGACCTTGTTCCCCCAATGTCGCCTCAGACTATCTCTGTGCAGGGTGTGTCTGGTGACCGCTGCCCTGCACACCACCTTCTAGCCCTTGTCAGCCTGGCATTAAGGGGGTGAGTGGAGCTGGCCCACAAAGCCATGTGTGGCTCTAAATGGGGACCCCGACTCCTCTCCTCAGGCCAGATGTGCAAAGGCAAGACTGAAGCCCTGGGTGGTGTTGGGACCTTGGTGGATTTATCTTCCTCCCTGACGGCTTCGCTGGTGTGGCATATGGTGCGGGGAAGGACCGTGGACCCCTACGATGCCTAAGCAGGTGCTTCAGACTGCTGTGCTACCTCGCTGTCCTGTCTTCCTCTTCTTTGCTTGGGAGTGCTGTGTGGGAACACTGGGCCAGCACACTCAGGACAGGCACTGAGAGGAAGGACACAAGTGTCACTTGGCTGGCACTGATCTGACGTCCCAACACTGAAAGCCCTTTTCTCCGGGGCACATCTACCTGTGGCCCAAGGACTGAGTTCCAGCAGCTCATCAGTGACACCGCCCAGAGGAGGAGACCTGCTCCCTGTGGACAGCCAGGGCAGACAGGCAGGCTGGTGCCAGCTCAGGTGCCCACCTCCTCAGCACTGCCACAACCTTTTTCCTCACATTCTGACTGTGCCACTGTCTGGCCCATGTAAGACCACAGCTCATAGGTAAGTGCCGCCCTGCAGGTGGGTCCTGGGTACCAGGGGAGCTCCTTTCAAGGTGTGCCCAGGGTGGTGAAGGGACAGCCCAGCACCAGACCCTGGGCCCCAGCTCCTCTGTAGCGGCCACTCCTGCTCCCGATTTCCTGTCCTAAAAGCCCCAGCCTTGGCCTGTGGGGTGCAGAGGGCCGAGAAAAGCACCTTTGCATTGGCAGGAAGGCTTGCAATTCCAGAGACTGTCCTAGGACTCAGGCCACAGAAGTGCCCACACCCAGGCAGCTGGGGGCACTCTGTGAGGCATACCAGTCACTTTCCATGGCCCCTAGCATAATTTATTGAACAAAAGAAGCTCCTGCCCTTCTGGGCTTCCAGGCTCAACACACAGGACATCACCTCATGGGTGAGCTGCCATCCTCCTGCTCTGAGGGGGCCCCCTAGCAGAGACAGGCTGCAGGTCACCAAGGATGGGGCAGACCCGGACTCCCACTGCAGGATGGGGTCCCAGGTGCCTCGAGCTGGGGCTTGGAGGGGCCCTGAGAAATCCACTCCATCCCAGCCCTCCATGTGAACCATGCCTTGCCCTCCACGCCAGAGTCAGGGCCAAGAACGGGTGGGAGCCGAAAGTAGCAAGCAGTATGGGTGGGCTGGGAGTGGCTTATACGCATCTCCAGAGCACCACTGTGCACAACGACAGCACCTACTGTGTGCAGCGAGAGCAGACCTGCCGCTGGGGCCACAGCATGCACTAGTACATGGCCTCAGGCCTCCTGGGTAGCCCCATCCCAGGTACCCAGCTGCCCAGCACTGTGAGCCAGTTTCCACCTGCACAGGTACCCACTCCTCCCTCAGAGTTCAGAGGACACAGAGGACAGGCAACACATGTGCCTGTGACCTAGAGACAGCCCAGCCACAAAGTGGCCCTAGGACCGCCGCCTGGACATCTGCCGCTCAGGGGGCCTGAGTCCTGGGTGGGCTATGGTAGGCCAGAGGGACAGACACTTTGGAGCCCCAAGGAGGACTGGCGAGACTGCAGGAGGCTCACTGCGTCTACCACAGGGCCAGGAGGGCCTTAGGCAGGCCCTAGGCAAGGCTACCCTCTCCCTGTGCCTGCTAGCATTATAGGGCCTCAGTGGAACCCAGGGCATCCTGCAGCTGCCTCAGCAGATCCTGTGGCCTGGTAGAGAATGTGCTGGTGTCCACCTGTTGGAAGTCGGGGTGTGCGACCACAGAGGCCAGCACCTCCGCGAGGCGGCCAATGTCAAATACAGCCTGCTGGAGGCCCAGCCCCAGGCCCATGCTACACCCTGGCACCCCCTCCTTTCCCTGGCCCAGGACAAGGAGCCGCCTCTCTGCGATGACCTCAAGGAAGTGGTAAAATTCTTCAAAGTTGATCCCCGAACAGGCTCTCATAATGACCTAGGCCAGAAAGGAGAGGCAGGTGAGTGTCATGGTCTTCAAAGACAAGCTGGGGGCCCGTGACAGGGGTTCCATGGCCACTGACCATGCAGCCCGAGTCTGCAGCCTGGCCTGGCTGCAACTTGCCACGCCACCCACCTGGCAGTGGTGGTGCCAGTCAGGCATGGAATCCTTCCACTGGCTGACTTCCCGCTGTACAGCCTGGAGCTCCTGCTGCAGGAAGTGCCACATGTTGGCCAGGTTGAAGCCATTGACCCAGTTGTGGTTGATGGAGATGGTATCATCCTGCAGGGCAAGGCTCAAGTGACCCACGAGCCTGCAGCAGTGGCAACAATGCCCACTCAGGGCATGAGCTCCATGTGGCCTCCATGCCAGGCCCAGTGCAGTACACATGGTGTAGGAACACACCTGCACTCAGCCTTCCTCTAGGGGAATGGGGGCAGCCCAATAGGGATGAGGGCTCAGAGTGGGGACCCCTCTGGGCACAAGGCTCTGGGAGGTGAGGAGGTACAGGGCCTTGCCAGTGACACTGAGAGCAGAGGGGCAGGCACCCAAGCCTGCCTCACCAGATTGTGCACTTGGTGGTGCCAGCCACTGGGCACAAATAACATCTCCCCTGCTTCCTGTGTGACCTCCAGTGGAAGGCTGCTCTGCAGGTGTGCGGATTGTGGGTAGGTGTTCCCCAGGGTCACGTCATAGGGCAGGCTGCCACGGCTATCCCTCAGGGCCTCCTCCTGTCCAGGCGGGAACAGCAGCCACTTCTTCCTCCCGCAGACGTTGACCGACCAGCTGTAGGAGCGGAAGATGTCGGCGTGGAACGGGGACCTGGGAGAGAGTTTCCAGTCTGTCCCCTGCAAGCTGGGGCGGTTATACGTCTGACCCTTCTGCCCAGCCCAGCCCAGCCCTCACCTACCAGGTGCCCCTAGGCCCTGCATAAACAAAACGGTAGTCGTCCACACCCAGGGCGTCCCAGAACTCATTCAGCCAGTCCGAGGAGAAGTACACAGGCAGGGTGAACACGGCCTCCAGGCCCTCCGCAGAGGAGTCCCTGTGGAGTGCAAGGCTGCAGCGGCACCACGACACCCAAGAGCATCTGACCCCAGGGCTGCCGACAGCTCCGGGGGCCTGGGCCAAATCCCCTCAAGTCAGAGAGTCTGAACAGCGAAGGCAGCTTTCAGATGGGCGGGGACCTGGCACAACCCCCAGGCCTCAGCAGTCTGGCCACTGGTGACACAGGACACCCTCGTGGATGTCCCACCATACCAGTTTGTGAACTGCAGGACCAGGCTGAGGAATGCCTGTACTCCCATGTACCCTACCCCAAGCTCCCAGAAGGACGAGCCCCTGACGCAGCTCAGCCACCTGCACTTGCACAGAGATGGTGGGGGTGACGGAATGCAGTCCTCACAGCAACAAGCCACTCATGGTCCCAGGACAACACCAAGCTTCCTTCTCCTGCTGTGCCACTCAGAGCGCACCCAGTGAGCTTCTATCCACCCACTGGAAACCCTGCTCAGTGTCATGCCTCAGCTGTCTCTTTAGGTAAGATGCAGAACATAGTGAAAAACTGAACTTCAAACACCCAATGAGCAATCCTGCAGCATAACTACCTCCAAGCAATGCTTGGGAAATACGCCAAGAAACAAAAGCCCACTTTCCTCGCTCACCCAAGCCCCAAAGCACAGCTGTGCCACAGTGGTATCTGCACTCACGAGCGGCACATGTGGCAGCGAGGTGGCACACACCCACAGTGCACATGACGTGGGCCAGGCCTCGGGACCGGCAAAGATGCTGACAGAAGTACACATGTCCCTGAGCTTAGCATGGGCTTCTGACCTGACACATCCGTGTTGCACTTTAAAGGCCATTAGAATAGTGTGTCCTTTGCACTAGCAAAGCCCTGGGTTCAACCTCCAGCAACAAAAAGAAAAAAGAAAAAGTGACCCATCTGATTGGCCAACTACTACAATTTAGCAAGAAAGCTCACTGCTCCCTGCTGGCCACTTCCAGCACGATACAGCTGACTGGGAACCATGGCCCAGGAGCACAGTCCAGCATCAAGAAAGAACCAGGCCACACACTGCTAGCTTGAGAAAAAGTAACATTCCAAGTCTGCAGTTTCTACTGGGCCCACAGCACCTAAACAAAGTCAGTAACTGCAGAGCACCAGCTCGATTCAGTCCCACATCCTGGGCCAGAGACTACACGGCAGGTGAGGGTGGGTGAGGAGGGTATCGAGTGCGTTCTGAGAGTGGCTTTGCACGGTGGGCAGGAACTTGGCCTCACTCCACAGCCCATGTGCCTGACGGAGTGCCCAGCAGGGGCAGGAGTACGGGGAGAATGCAGTGCAGTCCAAGCAAGGGGGAACAGCCTAGCTCTCCAGAGGACAAAACAAGAGCCAGGCCCTGGACTTTTAGGAAGCTGGGCCATCACCACACAGAGCAGGGCAAGCCCACCACACTGCACACGTGGCCCGGGGGCAGCATGGGGCGCGGTGGGGGGTGGTCTGGAGGCCCCCTGCACACCGGCTTGTGCGGAGAGCCGGGCTCAAGGTTCTGGGCAGGGCTGCACCTGCACAGGTGCCAATCCTTGAGATAGAGGCAGCCTCTCGGGGAGGAGCCACCATGCTGGGCGCACTCCTGCCAGTAGGCGATGTAGTCCCGCAGGGGCATGTGCTCCTTGGGGTTGGAGTTGTATTCCTGCACCGCGCAGTTCGCCACCGGCACCACCACATCTCCTGCGGCGAGAGGGGCGACAAAGACATGGTGAAGTCCTCTGGGAGCCCTGCCCCACCGGCCACAGTTAGCTCCGCAGCTGGCGGGACATCCACAGCCCACCATGGTCCTCGGTTCTGGACCATCCCTAGTTCTGCTTCGCCCTGGCTGGCCTGGAGGATGTCTCCTGATCGCAGCCCTCCTGGCTGTCCTGAGGACACTGACCCTCTGTTCCCCGGCTCTTCCTGGAGTACTGATCCTCTGTGTTCTCTGGCCTTCTGTCCCGGATGTCCTCGGCGGCCCTCGCTGTCCCCACTGTCCCAGGGTACTGCCCTCACGTCCCTGCCGTCCTGGGCTCCGGCCCGCTGTATCCCCACTGTCTCAGCGTACGTCTTGGGCGCTGCCCTTCCCTTCCCCACCGTTCCTGGGGAGCTGGCTTTTACACCCTAGGGTCCCGGGGTAGTGGCCCCTGCCCTCCGCGCTGCCGTCCTCACCGTACTCGCGCACCAGGTACTCGAAGTCGGGCTTGCCCGCGGGCGTCACCCAGCGCCGCCGGCTGCCCCAGGCCTCGGTGAAGGCGCTGGAAAACACGCAGGGCAGGTTGGGCAGCAGGAAGCCCGTCACGAAGTCCGCGTACGAGAAGGCGCAGGGGTCCGGAATGAAGGCGACGCGGCACGGCGCCCGCCCACCGCCCGGGACCCGGCCCCCCGCGCCGCGCAAGTGCTGCTCGGCCGCGACGCGCGTCGCGCGGTCCATCGGCGGGCCCCCGGCCGCTCTTTTCCAGGCGAGAAGAGACACCGAGAAATAGCCCTCAGCAGTCCCGCGCAGAGCCAGGGAGGAAGCCGCCGGGAACCAAAACGCTACGGCTTCGCTTTCCGGGGTCGTGCGCATGCGCTACGCGCTTCCTGTGTCCGTGCGCATGCGCCACGCGCTTCCTGTGTCCGTGCGCGTGCGCCCTCGCGCTCCCGGTGCCCGTGCGCATGCGCCGCGCGCTTCCGGCGTCCGCGCAGGCGCAGGAGTCGCCGCTGGACCGCGGGCGCGGCGCACCAGGGCTGTACTCTGGGGGTCCCCGGGTGTCCGGCTGCCAAGAGGTTCGGTTCCCGGCTGGCGTCCGCGCCTCCGGCCCCAGGTGAGCGGAAGCGCTGCCCCTCGCGCCCTGCCTCGGGAACTCATCCGCCAGAGCCGACGCGGTGACGGGCACGAGGCTTGGCCGTCCCAGAATCCGTGGGACAGCGGTCGGAGGAGCTGGCGGGGTCCGGGGAGGACGGGCCTGGGTACTTGGGGAGCAGGCGGGGTCCCGGGGGTCGGGGTTCCCCAAGGAAGATGCTGGGCGATGTTGGGACTCTGACCCTGGGGCGGATAGTTTGAGGGATCCCTTCCCTAGGAGTGCTGTTTACCCGGGAAGAAAGTCCCACAGCGTCGGCGCGAAAGCTCGGGTCCAGGATTCCGAGAGCAGGCCCAGCCGCGTCTCAAACACCGGTCAAGGAGAGGAGCAGTGAGGAAGGGCAGGGCAGGGCCCTAATCAGTAGGGCCGCGCTGGGGAGCACAGGGCAGCTGTGGACCTGCCTTCGAGAGGCTGAAAGAAACGGGTTTTACAGAAACAAAGGCAAGGAAGGGTTGGCCTTCTGTAGTTTGAGGCATAGGTAGTCCCGGTGCAGTATGGTCTGCACCCACAATCCAACCCACAGGTGGGATTTTACAGTTAGCAGGAACAGAGCCTGTCTTCCCAGGTGTAGTGGTTATCTCAGGAGGGGTCTGTGAGAGCCATTGCACTTGAGGTAACAACTTGGCTCCTGTCATGAGCTCAGGGTCCCTGCTTGGGGGACAGTCTCCATTTCTGACATGGGTAATTGCTTCCAGTTGGGGACTGGTGGTGACCTCATCATGGGGTGGTATGCCACGCTCTGGTTTTCCTGAAGTCTATATGGCTATAGGTTTAGGGCTATGAAACTTGCTCCAGGGGGTCTGGAGTGGATTTTGTAAAAACTGGCAGTTGAATGTCCCTGCAAGTCCAGAATTACTTAGGTGCCCTTATCTTGGTCTTCTCAGTCTTGTTGTCTGAAACAGGATCTCACAGGCTGACGTCAAACTTGCTGTGATCTTGCCTTAGCTTTCCATATACTGGCGTTACAGGCACACATATCATGCCTAGCTTTCTTAGTCTTGAAGGAACCAGACAGACTAGGTGTACTAGGGCTAATAAACCTTGAATTAGAGACACTCCTTGGGCGACTAACATGCCTGTGTGTAGAGCTGAGCCCCGATCTGACACAGACTTGAAAGGCAATAAAGGAGACAGGCACAGAGTGAAGGCGGATGATGAGCTCCCTTCTGTTGTCAGCTACTCACCAGGCATCTGTAGGCCCCTGAGTCTTGTTAAGAAACAAGGAGGTCAGAAAAGGGAGAATGAGGAGGACAGGAAAGTCCTTGGAGAGTCTGTGCTCCACATAGGGTGGGGTGTGGCATGCATGAGACAGGGGCAGGGATACCAGTACTGGTTGGGGGACTGATGGCCATGCGCTGTGGCCCCATCCTGGTGGCCTCACTGTAACTCTTGTGGTTTCTGTGTTTGGTTCTTTATTGTGAGCCAGGCCATGGTAGGAGATGGGAGTATACAGAGAAACTGAGGTGGAGAGGCTCACTCACAATCCCACCCACAAGTGCAGATTATGAGGAGCAGAGCCTATTTTCCCAGGTGCACATGTATTCACTCTGTGTCTTGCCTGCCTTCTCTCCATATTTCCCCAGCCTCTCTCCTTCCTACATAGGCATGCTATTATGACATCAAATGTGTATTTAGCCTTTCTCCTGTGTACTGACAACCCAAATCGTGGGCTCTGGGGACACACATGTGCTCATGAGCCTGCTGCTGGCCAGCAGCCCTAGTTGACTTCAGCATGGGCTGCCACTGGAAGACCAAGACAGGGTCCCAGGGCTGGGACTCCCAGCCCCGCCCGGCCTCCAGAAGGGCAAATGGGCTGAGCATCCAGCTGACTTCCAGGGCCCAGTGACTCAGTCCTGCCCATGTCATGAGGCCTCCAAAACCCAAGGCAGGGCTCAGGGCTTCCTAGGATCTGGACACAGGCAGGGTGGGGCCAGGGAGGGCAGGAAGCCCAGCCTCCCCATACCATCCCTGAGCACCTCCTTGTCTGCAGCCTGGCACCATCCTGACAGAAACTGGGAACTGAGCAAGCATCCCCTGCCCCAGTCTCCAGGACAGAGGTAGGGGGTTGGGGATGCAGACCCATCCATCCTGAGGAGGGGTTGAGGGGTCTTCACTTTGTAGCCAGTGGGGTGAGAGCCAGAATTCCAAGGGTATCTGTACGCCCTGGCATGTTAGCTGGGGGCACCTGTGGGATGTTGAGTTGGGGACTAGAGGATCCAGCTGACATTCCCTGCAGGGTTGCTTGCCGGTGTGTAAGGAAAACTCCTGTATGTCTGGTGCGAGAAGTGTGTTGTCATATTAAAGTGCCTGCAAGCAGGCACAGGGGCCGGGGGTTCGATGCTCGGGCCTGCCGTGCCATCCCCACCCCTGGACGCACTGAGATGGCAGTTGAGACTGGGCATAGTGCCACGCACCTGTAATCCCAGCTCTTGGGAGGCTGTAAACAGGAGGATCACTACTAGTCCGATCTGGTAGTGAGACCCTGAACACCCTGTAGACCCTTCCCTGAAATACAAAAAAAAAAAAAAAAAAAGTGTGTTGTGTATAGGAGAAAGCTTTGCATTTGTGTGTAACACGTGTGCACACACATCTCAACATTGTATACCGTATGGAAGCACCTGCTCTGCCGTCAGACTGGTGCTGTCTGCAGAAAGCAACGTCAGAGCTGCGTTGGACCTGAATCTAGCTGGTAGCGCTGCTGAACTGCTTGCTTGTGGTGGAGGAAACCCACCTCCTGGGCCACAGGAGTCAGCTGTGTTGCTTGCCATGCTAGCAAAGGAGAAAGGGCAGTTTGTTTCTCCAACACAGCATGCAGTTCAGATGGGCACTGTTGAGGACTCCTGCAGCACCGTGGCTGAGAGAGTCCACGATCGCGGACACCAGGCACTGAGGGCCCCGGGTCCAAGCACTCCCCCAGGTGCTGAGGCAGGGGAACCCCTTTGGCTGGGAAGTAGAGCTCCTAGCCAGACACTGGGTGCTGCGTATCCCATCCACAAGGTGTCCCTCTAGTGTCAGTGTTGGCGCTGTCTGCGGTGCCTAGGGACAGCCTGCTCCCAGGTGTCTCAGTACTGGCACCTGCAGGTTCAGGACCAGCCAGCGGCGCTCTTCCTCTGACTCCACCAGGCCTCTGTGTGGGGTGCCTCAAGAAAGCAACAGGAAGGGGCTCGAAGTTAGCACAGGGTCTCTGAGGGAGTGGAAAGGGTCCTCGAGGGTGGAGGACAGCTCATGGAAAAAACCTGTGCCACCCCGCCACACACACTGCCCCTCTGTTCTCCCTGCAGCCTCGAGTGGAGGAGGTAGAAGGTGTGCAAAGTGTTGCTGGTTTGGTTACTTTGGAAATTCACTAAAAATAGTGTGTTTACTTGCTGTCGAGCCTCACGGGGACACACGTGTGATGGAAACGCTGAAAGGGACATGATGCCATCTCGGGGTCTCAGGCGTGCCGCCACATGGCCACTGCTTGTTTCCCTGCACCCTGGGCCCCACAGTGAGTGTCAGGTGGCTCTGTGTGAGCAGGGCCAGAGAAGTCTCTGCCCCAGCTGGCAGCAGCCGGCACCAGAGAAGGCTTGGACTTGCTCTACCCCAAAGTGGCAGAGCTGGGAGGACTGAAGGAACTCAAGTGGCAACAGCCCCTCCCCACGTGCGTGGGGTGCATGGGGTGAGGGGGATTGAGAGGGCCATGCCCCAAGCCCTCTTGTGCCATCCCCTGCCCCAAGTGGACACTGTGAATGTGTGCTCTGTGTGCTGGGTCCACAGCTGTGGAACCGCATTAGGGACATGGGAGGAGTCTGGCAGCCAGGAGCACCTTCTGGGCCGTAGGAGCTGAGCACTGGCCTAGGAGCCTAAGGCTGTGGGGATCCAAGGTGCTGGGCTGTCAGAGCCCCTGGGATACGTGTTCTGTGTTTCTGCTGGGACATCCAGCATCTGCTTGCTAGGCAGGACTGTGTCAAGCTGCTCCGCCTCCCTAGAAGATTTTGGCAGAAGCCTGGCACCTCCTCACTGAATCCTAGCTCACCAGCTGCTGAGCAGTGGTCAGACAGGACCCAGGGTATGGCAGCAGCTTCAGAAGATGCAGGTAGAAGGCTTGCTTAGGAGGGCTGGGAAAAGGAGGAAGAGCAAATCAGGAAAGTCTGGGTCCAGGGGAGCCAGTCAAAGAGGAGGAACATACACCAGTGCTAGAGAGGGGGCACCCCCACAGGGAACATAGATCCCAGCCAACGAGCTGGTGTCAGAGTTGATGCCTGGAAAGAGCTTGGCACACCTCGGTGGATGCAGAGTACACAGAGTACCACAGGGTTCTTGAGTTATCTTGGAAAAACGGGGTTCACAGTGGGACAGAGCTATGTCTGGCAGAGGACCCACTACAGGACCCTGAAACCTAGTGCCATAGTGACCCAGGAAGGGGTTTGCAGACATTAGGCCACCATGCCTCTGTACATGGTCTTGTTGGGGCTTCTGTGGGTGCTCCTTCATGTTCTCTGCGGTGGTAAAGTGAAGTATGTGATAGGCCTTCAGCCCCAGGGCCCAAGGCTGCATTTGCCAGCCAGGCCTCAATAAGCTGTTTGAAGTGCCCAGGGCAGCAGAGGTAACATGGGCCATGCTGGTGACATGGGGGCCAGGATGGCGAGCTTAGGAGGCAGGTGCAGACTCGAGGGACCAGGGACCTTGCCAAGGATGCCATTGGGGCTGTGGTGACAGCTGACTTGGGGGCGGCCAGGAGGAAGGATATGAGGCGCCACGCATGCCTGGGAATCTTTTCTTCACTTCCGCCCTGCCACTTAATGTCTGTTTGCTTTGGTTTTCTGGGAAAGGAGCCCGGAAACCTGTGGTAGGAAAGTAAAGTGGCTCTGTTTCTGTTCTTCTTTCCCTGGAATTTGCCTGTCACAGACACTTCCCTCCATACCATCATGACACATGTTTTACCTGCTCACCTCCTCCTCCTTGGGCTTGCATTTCATAGCATC